ATATCTGTGCAGAAGGATCTCCATGAGTTGTATTTAGTTTTCCTGATTTCACTTTTAAATTTCCTTTGTAGAATTTTGAAGTTAGACCAGTTAACTTCAGATTTATTTCTGACTGCTTTCCTGTGAGCTCTCTGAACCTCTAGGCGGAGGCTTTCAAGCTCCTTGGTCCACTAGACTCTCTTGCTAGAAGAGTACTTCCTTTGTTTGAGAGGGCATGATGCATGGTAAGATTCAATAATGTTATTTGTCAGGTTGTTTGCTTGAGTATCAAGCTCCTCGACTGAACAATTATTTTCTAAAACCTGAGGGTTATGACATTAGAAACCAGGGAGTCCTTATAAAGGTCCAATTTGTGTTTTTAATGTTTCTGAAATATTCAGTTGGAATTTCATCTCTAATATAAAATTGTATAAGGCGATGGTCTGAAAGTGAGGGATTGTCACTTACATGCCAGTTCTCAATAAGGTTATAAATATCAGAAGAAGTTAGTGTGAGGTCAATGACTTCTTCTCTTCTTCTGTTGACAAAAGTGGGGTGATTTCCCCTGTTTACCCAAGTTAGGTTGGTATGCATTATAAGTTCCATGAGTTTCTGGCGGCCTGAGATGCAAAACTCAGTTTTTCTCCTGTATCCTCTACATGGCTGCTTCCTCCAAGACCCCTCCTCTTCAGATCAAAGGCCCTCAGAATTTCAAATCCTCCCCCAATCGCAGGTTTTTCCAGGGAGGAGCGGTCCGTTGGGTCGTCATAAGATTATTCATCATCAGACCAAACCTCATCCCACTAAACCCTGTTATGCAACAGGACTTTGTGGCAGTTACCCATTTGGCGCCACGTGTGACTTAAGGATAATCATGGACGTGGGTAACATTATCCCCCATGCATATGGTCAATGTAGTACTAGGAAAAAGAAATAGTCATGCGTTTGTCATAAATTATGTTGAGTGCGAGCGGTAATTTTGTCGAACCTACGACTGACGATTTCCATGCAAACAGGCACTCGAGGCTCCAATAGTATTTGGTTTCCTGGGCCACTGACAAAAGACATATATTGCTGGGCTAAGTGGCCAAGGACTGTTGCGTAGTTTTCCAGAGGTCGGTTTGTTTTTCTTTTGGAAAATCGCAGACCTCAGAGTGGGCTTTAGTTGGATGAACATTGACCTGCCTCTGGATCTTCGGTGGCCCAATTAGAAATACAGAACCATCCACGCATAGTGGAGAAAGTCTGTGACTTTTTGGGAAATGAATACGCCCCAATCGACACTTCTTGAATATATATAGTGCGTCATAGTAATGAGGGACAGTTATTTAACATTTAGACAATGACGTGAGTTTTATACTGAGTTTAGAGTTGACAGCAAGAGAGAAAGCGTACTGTTAGTGTGCAAGTATTCTGTGTGAAGTGCTTCTGAGGTGCAAGGTCAGTAGAGTTCTGACATAATGAATTATCTGAGCAGCATTTCTTCTGGTAAGTGTAATAGTAGTAAAAAGTTTCTTTCCTTCTAAAAAGGTGGTTGGCATTTTTAATTTTTGCTTATCTAAATATTAGATACAATGGATATGAAATTCAGTGATTCTTCTGATGAATCTGTATCTGGAATCATGCGAAAGAGACGAAGAAATAGAATACTTTCATCATCATCAGACACGGCAACTGATAGAAATACCTCGGAGGAAGAAGTTTGGGAGTCGGATGTATTTGACCAAGATAATGACACGGAATGGCGGAAAATAGCAGAAAAATCTGCATCAGAGGAAGAGTATTCGGAAGAAGAAAAGCTATTGATCAAAGAGACGGACTGTGATGATCCTGTTGCATTATATAAATTATTCTTCATGGAGATCGAATAGGTGCGCTGAACAGTGCATAGTGAATGCGGCATATGGCAGGAGACAACATCAACAAGCATGGATATTCGTAACAAAAAGTGAATTGAATACCTTTATTGGTATTTTGCTTATTATGAGTGTAGTGCAGGTACCTGAAATTCGACTATATTGGTCCAAAAAGGGGATGTATATGCAAATGCGCCTATACAGAAAGCAATGAAATGTGATCGATTCTTAGCAATATTGAAATACTTGCACTTTTCCGATAATTAAACAGCTAGAACCGAGGATCAGTTACATAAACTCAGAAATGTTGTTGATAAAATTCTTTGTACATTCAAAGATGCAGTAAAACCCGGTAAAAATATAGTAATTGATGAAAACATGGAAAGGACGCCTTAGTTTTCGTCAATATATACCAGGTAAGCGGCACAAGTACGGAATAAAACCGTACAAACTCTTCCTCCTGGGCAGATATACATACAATATGCATATTTATTCCGGAAAAAATGAAACTAGAATTGTAAAAACACATTCTCATGAGGTAGTCATGAAATTGATAGGAGATCTATTATTCAAGGGCCGACAGTTTTTATACAAGTATTCCTTTAGCCTAAGATCTTCTCACTAAAAGAATATATATTTGCAGTACAGTCAAAATGAATAGAAAATTTCTACCACCGCAGTCAAAGCAAAAACAGAAACAGGGCGACATTATATCTCTTGAAAATCAGAGCGGCATGAAATTTTTAAAGTTGACCGACAAAAGACCCCTGTGAATGTTAACCACATTGAGATCTCACAATTGCACCATTATTCGTGGAAAAGATGATAAATTAAAACCAGATACTGTTTTTTCTTACAATAATTCGAAAAAGGGAGTTGATATATCTGATCAAATGTGTTCCTATTATAAATGTTTATGGAAAACGGTAAAATGGTAGCGAAAATTTGTCATGGAGTTAATATGCTGGACCTCTTTAGTAAATGCGTGGTATATCCACAAAAAGTGGAGAACCAAGCGTTACCAAATTAAAAAATTTAGAGAAAAATTATTGATTATCTATTGAAGAGTGTTAAGAATTCGCCTAATGAAGAATTAATAGTAAGTAGATGGAAAAAACATTTTTTAAGTGCACACCAAGGATCCACGAGGAAGATGAGGAAAAGATGTAAAGAGTGTTACAAACGCTTAACAAACGTAAAAGGTACACAGTATGCCACAAACAAAACAAAAAAAGTAATGACCTTTTGTAGTAGTTGTCTGGATAAGCCGGCACTCTGTTTAAAATGTTTTAAAAATTTGCATCGGTAACATAAGTAGTTGTATTTAATGTATTGATTAAATTATAAGTTATGTATTTTGTGTTAAATGTTTGATTATAAGGTAGAAATGTTAATGTATAATGTTAAATCAATAAAATTACATTTTGTACTACGTATTTTTTATATACAAACGTTTTCCATCGGTGATGCATGCTGTTCCATGGAACAATCTAGCATGGGCCACCTGTGGGTCAGGCCGCCCCGTGGAACAGACAAGCATGGGCCACTGGTGGGTCATGCCGCCATCAGCATGTTAATTTATAAAAGTAAATGAATTTTTAAGTGTATGTGAAAATGAACTTAATACGGGTAATGGGGAGTAGTAAAAGTTTTGAAAAGGAAAAAGGTGTGCTAATAGTAAAATGCACATGCACTGTGTCCCCTAAAATTACTTATCCAAACTTTATTTCTGCATTTGCTGTTCATAGACTTTACAGATGCAAGCTTCTTACTCTCATTTACAAAATAGTTTAAATGATGCAAAGATTCATGTCTTGACAGTTATGTAAACAGATTTTAAGTATACAAAAATCTGTTTTATAAAAATTTTGTAATGCAGTTTTTTGTGTGGTCCTTTGGTACTCGTATTTACAAAAATTTTATCCTCATTGGAAAAAATAAAAATAAAACACAGAAAGTTTGACTCACATGATGAAAAAATGCCAAGGTATTTAATTTCAGAATTTGGAATATATGACATTTCCAGCTTGCCTTGAAGAGGCCAATTAACAGATTAATTAGAGTAATACAAAATTGATTCCCTCCAGATGCTACTCAGAGGTATTATTTTGTGATTTACTAGTCTGTAACATTCTTTAATTTATAATTTTGTTACAACTAGTATGCCAAAATAATTTTCACACAACTAATTTACAAATTTTCTAATGCTAAGAATATGTTATTAATGTATTCATGAAAATTTATTACATCAGGATAATTATCTAATAATCATACCAAAACTTTATTAAGTTGAAATAGTTCTTAACTTTATTGCATACAAATGTTGTCATGAGTTGGCTATGTGCCTATTTTGCGCAGCAGTTTGTATAAAAATGCATACCATTTAATCTGTGAACATCAGAAGCTTTTCCTAAACTGATATGTAATTTTTCATTATATGCAAATACAGATATTTTGCTCATTAACTTGTGTATAACCCCTGAATGTGATTAGCAACTTTAAAGTATAATAGCTTGGTTAATTTTTGTTTTACAAGAATCCAATTTTTTTTTTTTTTTTTTTTTTTTTTTTTTTTAAGTGATGAGCATAAAATGTCCCTAAATATAAATATAGGGGTTAAGGAACTTATAAAAAGTTAAGACTTCATAATCATTATAAAATTGATCTTTTAAAATCGAAAAATGCCAAAACATGAATGTTGACATTATTTAAAATATTTTTTAGTCAGAAATACAGGTCAAATTTTTGCAACCAGTGGTTGCAAAAATAAGGCGAAATAAGGAATTATATAGATAGAGTGTAAATATACAAATATACTATATGCATATACATATATATTTGTATATTTGTATATACATGATTATATTATCTCCTAATATAAATATAGTAGAATGTATCTAAATGAAGTAATCCAGAAGTATGAAATTTAATCCTGCATACACACATACACTCACATAGTAAGTCCTAGTTGCTGTGAAAAATACTGTTTTTTCCTCTTCCTTTTTTCTTTAAAATTTCTGAATTTTTTTTTTATATTGATTTTTAATATTTTTAGTAATTGTCATGACAGTTACTTAGTGTAATACATTGAAAAAGAACTGTAATAGTTATATTAAATTCTCTTTTTATGAGAATATTTTGCAACAAAATCTCTTTTGCTTTTAGCATGGCAGAAACTGACAGTGTTGATGCTGAAAGTGGATTTGAGGAAGATAATTCTGAAGTTGGAGCCAATGTTATAAAATTTGTTTCCAGATTTGTTGATAAGGTGTGCACTGACAGTGGTGTGACTGAAAGTCATATCAAAGCTCTTCATCAAATGATTCCTGGTTAGTAAACAATCTCTAGTATGAATATAATTAAGTAACATATTACTATAAAGCTGATCTTCATGCTTTTCTGTGAACTAAATGTTTTGTGTCTTTTTGTTTTATCAAACTGTCCGGGACGGCACTGGCCCACTCAGTCAGAGAGTGCGACCGCACCATCAACGAATGATTGCTGCGTTCTAATCCCGGCTCTCCTGCTAAAGGCAGGAGACGGACATTGCTGGAAATAAAAGAAGACAGAAATTTTGAATCATGAATTAGTTACTAAAAAATGTATTTAATTAACATATAAAGTCAGTAAAATAAAAATAAAAAAATTGCTCGAATTCTCTTGACGCATATATGCAATGAATTTTTACAAAAGTATTACTGAATTTTAAGCTTTTCTGTGAAAAATATTTATACATTTAAAGGCTTATATAGTTAAGTATGTGAAATATTAAAATCCCAAGAATTCTTAACAGAGTACAAATTCCGAGATCTGGACTTGTCAGGACTTCAGCCATCCTGGATTTAGGATTTTTCCACACGTTAGATCATCAGTTTAAATCTAGTAAGATGGCATGTAGAAATTACAAAATTAAAAACATGAAATAATGAAGCATTTATGATTTAAAGGGTATCAAAATTTACACACACACAAAAAAAAAGACTTAATATTCAAGCATTTATTTATTAAACATTTCTTTCAATCTAACTTGTTTAAAAAGTTTTTTTTGGTGCTAATAATTTCTTTTTAATTCTATAGACAGATATAATTTTTTGTTCAGTTACAAAGTTCCATTGTTCAGGTCCTGTAATTGCTGGGTTGAGAATTCCATCTAACCAGTCAGACAAAATTTTTTCGTTCTCAATAACTTTCTTCACTATTGGTATCGGTCCAAAAAAAAAAAAGATCCAGTTCTAAATGCAGATTTAATAAAAGAAAGTTTTGTCACTTTCTTCACTATTGGCATCGGTATTTTCTGGGTCTAGAACCATACTACAAATTTTGCCGACCGTTGATTGATGATTGGGCATTGTCATCACAATGTAAAACTTGTGTGAACTATCTTTTTCCCTAAATTCTGCGGCCATGCGAGCTGTGGCGTCGGTTTTGGCTTTATGTGAAAAACAAATCAGTTATTCTTAATTCAAACAGCAGTAGATGTAATCTTTTGGCGTATGAGTATCATTAACAAAATCTATTTTTAGCATATGAAAAGAAATTTTTGTTAAATCTTTCCTCGTCAACATTTCTTATTTATGCGCATTTAACTTAAATCTGTAATCGGCGCCAAGTGTAATGTCATCAAAAAAAGATTACCATACTCTGTGTTATTCAATTACTAATACCAAAAAGAAAAAAAGTGTTTAGGCATCGCTTCATGAGTCTTTACTCAAATTGTCATCTATTGATAAACATGCAGCATTGTAAGGAAAATATAATAAATAATGATTCGCCAGGTTGGCATCAAGGGTATAAAATATTAATTGGTGTAAAGTCAATGTTTTTATGTAGAATGTTTCGTATTAAGATACTAAGCAGATACACAGCTACAAAGTCAAATTATTATCTCACAAATTTATGCTAAAATGATTATTTCTTGAGTAATAAGGTATTAGTGTCCTCCATATGTTTTATTATGAGGGGGAAAATCAAATGTGTATGCATGAAGCATACCAAGAAATAAAAAATCTTAAAACAGAAATGATTGGTGGTGGCTTTGAGGTCTGGATTTTAGATCATTCCGGATGTTGGACGTCCGGATCTCGGACTTTGTACTGTATTCATCATTATTCCTAATAACATTGGCTTAAACACATAGTTAAGGCAATATAAATGAAACTATTACTTTAAACTCACCAAGTTAAAAATTATATTGCAAATATAGTCCCAAAATAATTTGGAATAGAGCAAAAGTTTGATTTACTGTATTAGTGCAATAAAAAAATGGATTATCTCACAAATTAACATAAAAATTGACTGATGAATTATAAAGGCTGATTATCATTGTCACACTTCTCAAAACAAGCAAGTAATAACTGTAATTTTGTTTAGTCTTTGAGGGCTGTTACAATTATTAAATTCCTTTTACATTCATTTCACATTAATAAAATTCTTTCTGTGTTCTTTTCAGCAAAATCAGTACAAGTCTTCTTTGGTGCTAATGTTTTACCTGTTTTATAAATTAATTCAGTTGTTAATCATTGTGTTCCAGTCTTGGGTAGGCCTTTGTTCTATATTCTTTGTGAAATTCTGTCAAAAAACTGTAGTTTGTGTTTATACTTTCCATCATGCTTCTCATTATGTTTAACAGAATGGTTGCTCAATTTTCTAACCAGTTCGAAACCTTCTTTTATTAAATCTGCATTTAGAACTGGATCTTTTTTTTTTTTTTTTTTCCATTATCACTACATTCTGTTGAATGAGAGTTAAGAACACCCTCTAATAACTGATTTTCACTTACTGTCGACTAAAATTCGTGAGTATCTTCATATGATAGATCATTGAGGCCTTCTCCAACAAATATATGTGCCATTGTCGCTTTAATTCATTTAAGGCTAAACCAACTTGATTGATACATACTATAACTGAGAATTTCTTCCACATGCCAATGACTAAGTATTTCTTCATTCAGTTTTCCAAACTGTCATGCAATTTTGTTTTACGCAGTGTGTTTTAAATGTCACAATAGACCTTGGTCTAATGTTTGTAACAAAATGTAATATTATGTGGAAGAAATAAAATTTGTGTTTTGGGGTTTTTCTGAGACAGGAGGGTCAGGTGTTTTATTAAGAACAAGAAGATTACGCAGTGTGTTTTAAATGTCACAATAGACCTTGGTCTAATGTTTGTAACAAAATGTAATATTATGTGGAAGAAATAAAATTTGTGTTTTGGGGTTTTTCTGAGACAGGAGGGTCAGGTGTTTTATTAAGAACAAGAAGAACTTTAAATTCGAGACATTTATATAACATCATATTTATATATGACATTTATATAACATTACAGACATTCATATAACATCAGACTTCTGAGATGAAGCATTTGCTGAGTTTTTCTGCAGAGATAGCAATGGACACCCAGGCTTCTTGTTAGCCAGTGAAAAAGTAGTTCATTAATATGTATAGCTTTCATCAAATGTGGTTTAGGGCTCAGCAGTGGTTTCAGCATACAATCTCTTGAAGTCTTGGAGCAAAATAATAAGGTCACACAATTCTTAGCTATCTCAAAACCACAAGTAGTTTTCTGCAATTTGGCTATACATGTATTCTGTTCGGCATTTATTTTCAGAAGAAACCAATTTCATCTGCATTCCACACTTGAGTATATGTTCCATTTTCAATATTTTTAACAAGTTCCTGGTTGAATATTTTAACAGGTGATTCATTCGCAAATGCAGTTTCCACTTTAATTTTCATATTATGAAGGGCATGCCTTTTAACAAATCCTGCCATCCAATCTGTATTTGCAGAGAATCCATACTTTCTGATTAATTGAAATTGCTTGTCTACTTTTCTTTAATCTGCCTATAAATTCTTAGTGCTGTCTTTTGGTAGCATTTCCATTTACTAGTTCTCTCTCTCTCTCTTTTTTTTTTTTTTTTTTTTTTTTTTTACTTTTTTTTACTTTTTTCTGTTGATACAGCCTTTTCTATTTTTTCATTTTTATACTACCTCTCGTACATGATGATGAATAAACACTTACTTTTATTCTGTAGCAGCAGCTCTCAACATTTTGACCATTTAAACAAAAATTGAAAACCTTTAGTACCACCACGATATTTTACAATGATTATCCCTGAATTTCTCAATAAAAATATTTTTTAAAAATATATTTTATCATTTGCACAAGCGTTTGGCTATTTATATTAAATATGCACACATTAAAAAGTACTAGATTAAAAATTGATTACCATTTTAACTATCAAAATTTAAGTTAAAATACTTTAATTCTAAAATTTAGTGTGAAGTTTGGGTCTGTTTAAGAGAGATCAATTTCTCTATGTCACTTAGTTTTAACCAAGAACTAGGACCCACTTTTAATTTTGTTCTGTATTTATTTTTCAAATGTAACATGGAAAAAAATCTTTGTTCACACAAATATGTTGGGCAAAAAAGGCTGTAAAAGTATTAAAATACCTTTAAAGTCTTTTTTGGAAAAATAGGTGGTACGCAAAGAAATGAAGTATATTTAACTATTAAACTAAAAAATTAAATATCCGAACATCCTGTTTCAGTGATCTGAGTTTTGTTGAAGTTCAATAAACCACTCGTAGACTTTAGCAAAATAATCCGATGTCATTTTCACAAATATTCTTTTAGCCATAGACAACAAAATTTGTTATAAATGATGTTTCTAAAAGGAGTAATAGATATGGATGTTATATTTGATATAAAGTAACAATTTCATATAAAAAGATAATAATATTCCATTAATTCTTTCAGAGTTGATTGATTTATTAGCTTGTCTACACATTTATGTCACCACCATTTCAAGACTCATATTGCTCTATTTTCAATTAAAATCATTTTTTTACGTTGATTTGCTGTCTCTAACAGCAGGTATTTTGTCTTCATGTAGATTTGTATTCCTTACTTTTTTACACGATTTGAGAATATCATAGTTTGTTTTTGAAGAACTCGTAATATATTGTGCATTTAAATATTTCTGAAAAAATAATAAAACAAACCTATATTTTTCAAAATGGAAAATGACTAAAATTGATTAAGTGTAAAAGTAGTGATGATTCACAGGTGGTGGATCCAGAACAATATACTAGCACTAAGAATATTGAAAAGAAAAATTTTTTATAGAAAATATAATGCAAGTTATTTATCATTTGGGTTTACTTAGAATGGAGATGAAATGATCCCTCAACCGCGGTGTGTTGTTTGCAGTGAACTATTATCCAATCAAAGTATGAAACCATCGTTTCTTAAAAGATATGTTGAATCTAAGCATACCAATTTAAAGGATAGATATGAATATTTTAAGAAGAAATTATTGGAGTTCAAATATAGGAAACAAGTAATGAAAGGCTTTGTTACTTCAAGTGAAAAAGCTTTCGAAGCTAGTTGCCCAGTAAGCCTAAGAATTGCCAAGACTGGGCAGGCTCACACTATTGGAGAAAAACATTATAATATCAGCAGCTAAAGATATTGTTTTAACATTATTCAATGAAAAAGAGGATAATAAACTTGATAATTTTCTGTTATCAAACGATAAAACAAATTGACAAATTCATGAAATGGCAAATTCCATAGAAGACACTTATTCGAAAAATAAAAGCATACTGAGTTTTTCACCTTGAAATTGGATGAAAGTACTGATATAATGAACTTTGTTCAACTATTAGTTTACGTATGCTTCGAAGACGGTAAACGAATTGTTTCATGGTAGAGCAACTGCAAATGAAATTTTCAAATTTATTGACAGTTTTATGTCTGAGAATGATATTCCTTGACGTATGCAGTGACAGAGCTCTGGCTTTAACAGAAAAACATTCCGGTGTTATTTCTCAGATAAAAAAAAGTCGCACCTCAAACTAAATTTACTTACTCTACTCCATTCATTGTGAAGCTTAAGTAGCAAAAACTAGGACTTGGAAGGGATTATCTTTTATTTATTCCTGAGCCAAAACGATCCCTGAAAACCTAAAAATCCTTTTGAGTGAAGCTGTGAAAATTGTTAGCCGAGCTAGCTATTTACGAATATTCACGATTTTATGTCAAGAGATGGGCAGTGAATACAAAATGCCTTTTTTACATTCTGAAGTAAGGTGGTTATCCACAAAGTTTTAAATCGTGTTTTGAACTTCGATCAGAAGTTCAAATTTTCCTCTGTGATTCAAAATTTGAATTGCAAAATAAACTAACACATCGCCATTGTGATATTAAATTTAATTCATTTAACTTTCCAAAAGTATCAGTTAAATATATTTAATGTGCCAACCATAGTTCATTAAACAAACATTTTTGGAATTCAAATTTTGAATCACAGAAGAAAATTTGAATTTCTGATGAAAGTTCAAAAGACAATTTAAAACTTTGTTTGTGGATAATGGACTTTATAATGTAAAAAAAAAGTTTTGTATTCTCTGTCCATCTCTTGACATAAAATCATAAATATTCCTAAATTTATAGCTCGGCTAACAATTTTCACAGCGGATTTTAGGTTTGAAGTTTTTCTATCATGAAGAGATTCAGAAAATAAATACTTTTCGACAATTCATTTATTTTCTATGAAACATACGTAAACTAATAACAAAGGAAAGTTCGAGAACCAGTACTTTCATCTAACTGCAATGCGAAATGCTGTGTTTTATTTTTTGAATAAGTGTCTCTGTTATGGAATTTACTATTTCATTAATTATTTGATTTACTGTATCATTTGATAATGGAATATTATTAAGTTCATTAGCTGCCTTTTTTTGTTGAATATTGTTAACATAATGAAATATGGTTGGCACATTTAACATATTTAACTCATATTTTTGCAAAGTTAAATGAATTAAATTTAAGATTACAAGGAGAAAGTGTTAATTTGTTTACCATTAGAGGTAAAATAAATGCAGTGATAAAAAAAAAAATTTCAAGCTAATAATCAAAGAATTGGATAATAATATTTTAAGCTTAATACCACTTTTAGAAAATTTTCTAACCGAAAATAGTTTGAAAATAAAAGAAGAATTAGCATCCAACATTAAAAATCATTGTTTCTCATTGATAAATAACTTCAACTTGTATTTCCAAAGGATTGCGAAAATGAAAATTGGTTTGGAAATCCATTTTGTTCAGATGTATCTGAAATTTTATTTTGTAAAGAAAAAGAACAATTGACAAAAATTTGCTGTGATGGAACTCTAACTAAAGATTCCAAAAATACAAGTAATACTTGTAACATACTTGTTAACTTTTGGCTGAATTGAAAAAAAAGAATTTAAAGGCACTTCAAATAAAGTTATTAAACTTTTATCACCTCTTTGTTCAACCTATTTGTGTGAGCAAGGATTTTCTTCTCTGTTGTATTTGAAAAATGAATGCGAAACAGAATTAAAAGTGGATCCTAGTTTATGGTTCAAACTATGTGAAATAAAACCAGACATAAAGAAACTGATGTCTCTTAAACAGACTCAAATTTTGCACTTAATTTTTGAATTAAAGTATAATAACTTAAATTTTGATAATTAAAATGGTAACCGTTTTTTAATCTAATATTTTTCATATGTGTATATTTAATACAAATAGCCAATGGGTTGCAGAAATGGCAATTTTTTTTTTAATATTTCTATTGAGAAACTGAGAAATAATCATTTTAAAATGTAGTAGTGGTACTACTTTTTCACTTTTTATTTAGATGGTACATGTTAATCAAAAGGTTGAGAACTGCCATGTTATGCTATCTTTTCGTACACATGTATACAACTGTGCCACAAATAAAAACTGTTTTTCTTAGAATTTACGCAGGAGAAAACTTCTTAGAAATTGGCTTAGCATAATGAAATGACATATAAAAAAGGTGATCAAATGTTTAAAATCAAAATCATATTAAAAAAGTTTATTTAAAATGAAAATTTATGATTTTGCATGTTGTATTTTTAAATTTATAATGTTAACTTTAAATTGTTAAGACCTGAACTTAAATGAACTTTAATTATGACTAATGCCATCTGACTATAATTATGGCTTTAATTATAAATTAGGTGTTGTTGCAATGCAGATGGAAACTTTAGAAGCAGTTCACAAAGAGAGTAAACGTCTTCCACCTATCACAAAGGTAAATATTTATTATTCATTATTTTTATAATTTTAGATATTTGCCCACCTTCTGTATTTGAAGGCGGCTTGTTTGTTTGTTTGTAAACATTTTACGTTGGAATTAAAAACATACATGTGTTTGTAAGCGACTTTCATTTAATACAAATATTTGTTTTTATGAGTTTTTATTTGGGCAGGGGAAAGGAATTAAGATTTTATTAAAATAGCCATTTTCATAAAAGCATACACCCAGCTGTTATGCATATATTAGCATTATATTTAATTAAAAAAGTGCATCATTTATTTTTTAAAAATAGACATGAAAATTTTTTTCAATATAAATCTGAGTGCATTTTGTTTCTTGATTTTTAGTATCATTATGCATGTTTTACTCTTTTTATGATCAGTTTTATCAGAATGTAAGTAAACATATAAAGATATGAAGTTATAAAAAGGGAATTTGATAAACATAGCTGTTCATGAGAATTCATAAAGTCCATATTATGATGTTGGGTAATAAATTTTTTATGTAAAAAAAAATTCCAGCCCTTCTATTTTTTTAATTAGCTTAAGAAGAGTAGTGTATTTTAAATAGAGGTAGTTGTGAATTCTGTTAATAGTTAAAAACAGCAAATCAAGTATTACTTTGTACAACTTAATATCCTGAAAAATTAGTTTACATAATACATACTTTACCTAAAATATAAACAAAAGAGAAAGTAAGACACAATAACACGCCAAATAAATACTAATTCAGAAATCAAACAACAAAAATCAGTGTTATATTTACAAAGTTTTCACAGGACTAGTTTCGATGGTTTTACCGAACCACCATCTAAAGCTGCAAAACCGCAAATGGATTTTGCGGTTTTGCAGCTTTAGATGGTGGTTCGGTAAAACCATCGAAACTAGTCCTGTGAAAACTTCGTAAATATAACGCTGATTTTTGTTGTTTGATTTCTGAATTAAAAGAGAAAGTGTTTATTCGGGAAAAAGCAGTTCTTGACTTGTGTTTTGTTTTGGTGCTTGTTTCTTTTCTTTCCTTTTGCTGTCTGATTTATATTCTCTCTTCTATAGCCAAAAATTCTTTCACCAAGTCTACTGCAAGGAGAAGAATTACTTATGGAAGGACTACGTGTATATCTTATCCCCGATGGAAGAGAGGAAGGAACAGGAGGTTTACTTGGAGGGCCTAGTCTTTTACCTGCTGAAGGGGCTGTATTTCTTTCTAATTACAGAATTCTGTTTAAAGGAACACCATGTGACCCATTTGGTAAGCAATATAGTTTTTACCTGCAAGTTTAGATATACTTTTAATATAAATATTTAGAAGATAATTGTGGTTTTAAAATATGGTCTAAAATTATGTAAAACTAAAGATAGGTACAGTCAAATACCGAAAATCCGCCAACCTGAAATCCGCCAACTCCTGAAATCTGCGTAGCCTCTCAACATATAAACATTCAGTGTATAGGTTCCAGAAACCGCAACATTGAGTACGAAATATCGAAGAAAAAATACTTGCTGAATAATGACGTCATAATTATCGAATAATAATAAGTCATAACGGAAATACCAAATTAATGGACATCATGATAAAAGTTTTTTCCCCTCTAATCTGCATCGAGGTAAGAAAGCAGACGATTCACTCAACTCTTTTTTCAAGTTCACGATTCATGTTGTATTTTCTGAGCTTTGTTATTTCACGAGATTATTGGGTGCTGCCTTCTTTTTTTATTCAGATATTTTGGGGATAAATTAAGAATATTTTTAATTTCAGCCCTTTTTAATACAGTTATGGATAAGAAACGCACTTGTGGTTTTACTGCTTGCAACGTTGAAAAACGTAAACACATTGCATTGACAGTAATGCAAAAAGTGCAAATTCTGCAAAAGATGGAGACAGGTGCATCTTATAGCACAATCATATGGAATTGTGATAAGATTGTGTGTAATATACAGAAAAATAGAGAAAAGCTGTTGAAATTTTGCAGCAACAGTGATTCTAACAGTGGAAGAATCCGAAACCGGAAATCTTTGCATGAGTCGAAATAGGCAAACCTCGATGCTGTGTATATATAATACAATGAATAATAAAATCAATTTCTATATGTAATAATAATTTAATGCATGTAATAACTTATTGCAATAATGTATATAATAATTTAATTAAATGTATCTAATACACCTTATTTATTTTGCACTTTTAGTCTGAATATTATGATTTATCTTTTCTGTCCTGATATCTGCAAAATCCAAAAATCCGCACAACCTCTGGTCCCAAGCTTTGCAGATTTCTGGACTTCTACTGTATTAATAAAATAATTCAATAAACTAGAAACCTCAATTCTCTTTTTTGTTGAATTTCTACACAAGAAATAAGGTTCTTTATACAGATAAATATGATTGTCTGCAAGATCTTTTGTGCTAAAGTCTTTTGAGCTAATTACTACCCTTTTAATAATAATGAATTTCTTAAAAAGCTTCATGATTTCCCCCCCCCCACTCTAGTGTGCTGTCAGTTTGACTGCTTTGTCTCAATAAACTAGAAAGTTTTGAAATTGTTACTGAAGTATCAAACTAAAATAGTAAGTTTTGCATCTGTAATGACTTAAACATTTTTTGGTGCTTTCCGATTATCTGTATCCCAGCTGAAGTATTTATGAGGTAATCATTTGAAGTATTCATGGAGCAGCACACAGTATATTGCCGGTATAGTTATGTGGCAATCCAGGTGTACCTGTAGCATACATCTGTTTTTGTCAGTGCACAGTGCTAAAGTTGTGCATGATGCTAAGTTTGTACAGTTCACTGATGTTATTTTTACTGAACATGTGTACATGATCCATGTGTACATGGGAGAACAAAAGTACAAAAGAATTACTGAAGGATTTCTCAAAATAGGTAAGCATTTTATTACTAGTTTTTCTTGATTTTTTAATTTCATTGCTTAATTGCTTTTTTATGGATTTCTTAGTGTGCTGCCATTTTGAAAATTACCTTTGCTGTTGGCACATTAGCTTGATGAAAATTTTTCATTTCACTAAGGAGTACCCTGGTGTAGAAATAACTTCATTTCTCTAGAAAATTATGAACAAGTTTGCAAATGCTTTCCAAAGTCACCAAGTTCTCATTTTTCGGTAGTGGTGTGGATAATCGAAAAGTACCAAATTTTTTTTCCTCCTTAAAATGTGACATTTGCAACACATAAGGTTTTCTTTTTTTCCCTTATGTTACAGCTTGTGAACAAGTTATTGTTAGAAGCTTTCCTGTAGCTACATTGACAAAAGAAAAGAGAGTTAATGTTCAGTATCTTACTCAAGTTGATCAGTTTTTACAGGAAGGACTTCAGTTACGTTCAAATACTTTTCAGGTAATTACTTTTCTTCTGGTTACCTTTCTTTGAAAATATACTTCTTACTCAAAATCTAAAAAAATTTAAGTATAAATATGTTGTATAATATGTACAGTAAATTAGATCATTTTTCTTATCCTTAGCTTATTAAAATTGCATTTGATGAAGAAGTGACATCTGAAAGTATAGAAACCTTCCGAAAATTGATCAACAGGGTTCGCAGTCCACCTAGTGTGTTTCATGTTTTTGCATTTAGTGGTCATCTAGCAGTTCCTCAAACCCCTCTTCATAAACACAAAGAGAAAAATGCAACTCTGAAGTAAGATTTTTAAAAAAATTTATTTTGTGTATTTTTATATTTATTCATTTTTGTATCTTTATTAAAACCTGTATAGATTATTTTAAATCCAGATTAAGGTGTTAAGAAATTTAGTGCAAGATGATTACAATACCTGCCTGTTATTAAAATCTTTTCCATTTCCAAATATCTTTGATTTTAATAAATGGTTATTTCAATATTGCAATTAGTAAGTTAGTAATTAACAACTAATCTAATAGTAATACCTAAATTATTAATTAAAATTAATGATAAAATAAAATTATTTGCAAGATTTGGAAATTTAATTTTTATTTATTAAAAAAAATTAATAATTATGTACCTGATGAAATTTTAAACTTTTACTAAGAACTGCTGTATCCATATTTGTTTCATATTGTTGGTCAGCAGTTTTTCAATCGTATTTTCAAGTTCATAAAATTGTTGGCAGCCTTTATGATCTCTACCTTTCAATTCAAGAGTTCTTAGAGTTTGCAGTGCTTTTCTCAGATCAAGGTTGACATGTAGTCACTTTCTTCCAGTATCACCTTCTGTATCACTTTAACTGTCAGTTTCAGTTTCTGCATTTGTTTTAACATTTTCTATAATATTGTAGTCATTGTTTTCATATGCTGTCTCCGCAATATCATCAATTGCAACGTATTCAAAAAACAAATCTTCACAATTTCCCTCTTTGATATCCGAAATATTAGAAATAGACTGCAATTTCTCTATGGCTTCTTCTAAATAAAACGTAATTTTTTAAAGCAATTTCTAACAGTATTCTGGAAGACTGCTTCCCATTCGTTGACTGTAATTTGTATACCCTCTAGTAATCGTATCAACTTAGTTATTTCCTCTGAAGTACTTGCATTTTCACAAGATTCAGTTTTCTTTCTTTATTTTATTTATTTATTTATTTATTTTTTGAACGACACCTTTCTGTGATGACATTTAAAAACTTTTCTAGCACCTTTGTCTAAAGGCTGAGTAATAGAATTTGTATTTGTTGGAAAAAACACAAATTTAATGTTTTTCAAAATGACAGCAGAGAACTGTGCATCACAGTTATTTAACAGTAAAGCTGTTTTTTCGTTTTTCACTTCTCTGTCACATTTCAATAAAAAATCTGTAAGAAACAGCTTGTTATCCACAAATTCATGTTATTATAGTAAGTTAAAGGTAAATTCTTAACTCGTTTTAAACATCGAGGTTTTCTACCTGTTTCAATATCCAATGGTGTTTTATTGAATTGTTGCATCCATATTGTACATTAATAACACAATAACTCATTCTTTTACTTTCTGAAAACCAACTGTTTTTCACTGTGTTATAAATATCATGTGGCTTGTATTTTACAAGCTGAAGAAAATGTTTTTTATCCAGTTCTCAGCCCTTCCTTTGCTTCTCACCATGTAGTTTCTGATAAACAATGTTATTTCTCTCTTTCCATTTTGTGAGCCATCTGCCAGTTGGTGCAAAATTTTTTTCTAGCCTTTTAGCAAATTCTACAGCTTTTGTATTCAGAAGAGCTCTAAAAATTGGAATATATTGTAGTCTTGTAGTTTGAAACCATTCTAGAAAGGGGGTTAATGTCTCTTAATTTTTAATCCCTTTTTGCACTTCCTTGATGCATTTGCATTTTTTACTAATTCTTTACCAGTTTTATTTCTTTGTTTACATACGAGGGCTATCCAGAAAGTAGATTACGTTTTGGAATAAAAAAATAAACAAAGTATAGGGAACAAATTTTATTATATACAGATGAAAGCCACACTCAAATACTACTTTTCTACATAGTCACCATACAAATTAAGGCATTTATCGTAGCGATGTACGAGCTTGGAAATTCCTTCGTCGAAAAATTCGGCCGCCTGCACCTTCAACCACTTCGTTACCTCTTCTTGCAGCTGTGCGTCGTCATCAAAACGCTGCATAGCCAGCCACTTCTTCATTGCTGGGAATAGGTGGAAGTCGCTCGGTGCCAGGTCGGGACTGTACGGCGGATGAGGAAACAACTCCCACTTAAAAGATTCAAGAACTTTACGAGTGACATTTGCCGTGTGGGGCCGGGCGTTGTCGTGAATCAACAAGATCTTAGAGCTCAACATTCCTCTGCGCTTGTTTTGAATTGCTCTTCTGAGTTTTTGGAGAGTTTGGCAATACCTTTGAGAGTTTATTGTAGTGCCTCTTTCCAGGAAGTCCACCAAAATTACACCTTTTCTGTCCCAAAAAACAGTCGCCATCATCTTCCTTGCCGACATTGTTTGCATGCATTTCTTGGGTTTTTGGGGAGAACTTGTGTGCCCCCACTGCATTGATTGCAATTTCGTTTCACAGTTCACATGTTTCACCCATGTTTCGTCACCAGTAACGATGCGATCGAGTAAAGAGTCACCATCCTTATGGTAAGCGTCCAAAAAGTTCAACGCTGCAGCCATTCGCTGATTTTTGTGGTCCTCTGTCAAGATTTTTGGAATCCATCTTGCACAAAACTTGTGGTAACCAAGCTTTTCGCTGATGATTTCGTGCAACAAACTTCGCGAAATTTGTGGAAAACTCAAAGAAAGTTCCGTTATTGTGAAATTTCGATTTTCACGGACTTTAGCATCGACTTTTTCGAGAAGTTCGGCGGTCACTATGCTGGGTCTCCCACTTCGATCTTCGTCGTGAACATTGGTTCGGCCATTTTGAAATCTTATGACCCACTGACGCACTCCACCTTCAGTGATAATGTTGTCCCCATACACTTCACGAAGCTGCCGATAGATTTCTATCGGTTTACAGTTTTTTGCAGTCAGAAACCTTATTACTGAGCGCACCTCGCAGCTTGCGGGATTTTCAATTAACGCAGACATTTCAAACCGTCACAGTATCTGAACGGAGCACAGCGAACCTCTCACTAGCACGGCTAGATGCAGACTGAGCTGCGCAACGCTCTGACCCCAAGATGGCCGCGCTAGCCCCGCCCCTAGCGGACACAGACGGAAACGTAATCTACTTCCTGGATGGCCCTCGTAAATTGCATAGTGCTGTTTGGAAAATTCCCATTTTAAATGCTGCTTCTCTTTGGCTGCATTTGCCAAACGTATCATAATCTTTCAGCTTGCTTAAATAATTTCATTTAGGTATTTTCAACATGTTGCAAGTCACGAACTCATTAAATAAAAACATGTTTCTTCCAGTGATTTGTTCAAATCCAAAATTCTCGTTTATGGCCAACATGAACATTGCACTTTGTATGTCAAGTCAATCTGTCAGTTAATGGTTATTATAGGCATAATCAATGCTTTCTTTTCTTTTTTCTTCAGCTTGCAATGACCACTACCTTTTTCTAATCAAAGATTGGTAATGCATGGAAGCATTTCATGATGTTTTCCGAGGACAACCTTCAAACTTAATGTGTGCATGCACTTCTGTACTCTTATCAGCTGGTAACCTGTGCTCACCTAAGCACCACCGTATCTTTAATCCTGAAAAACATCACTCATCTTCAAACAAAGAACTTGTTTTCAGTACCTTTACAAGTCTACTTCTTTTAATCATAAGATTTTTGCTCTCAGCTTTAGTCCAGATAAAGAGATTTACAAACAGTATTTGACAGAAATTAGGAAAAGGTATCCAACACCCCCCAAAGAGTCTTGGTTCTAACTATACTGGCTGGAATTTCTACTAAGGCTGTTTTATTTAAGTACTGCATGACTGAAAGATAAATGAATGAACTACAGCTTTTATCATCCACAAAAAGTTTATTCTGGATCTGAAGAATCAGTCTTTTGCTAGTTTGAGATTTATTGAGTTTATAGGCAGAGATTAATTTGATAAATGGCGTTTTTTCTATTGACTAGTATTGTTTAGGTTTCTGTAAATTCGGATATAATAAGCAGCTGAGTATTAACCAGCAAGTTTAATAAGTGGCAGGTGCTGAATTTATTATACTGTCTTATTCATATACTAAAAATATTTATAAAAAATTTATTCATTAAATCTGAAAATTCAATTATTTCACTTTTTATTAATATGTCATTTATTGCTTTTACATTATCTTTATTTTATTTGGGCATCTCCCCCAAAATAATAATGCATAGATTAATATTTAGATAGGAATAAAACTACATTTTCTGTTTGAGCTCACTAACACCAAGTAAATAAAATTATTAAATACCAATGGTTTTATCCCAAATTACTTTGTAATGTGGTAACAAAACAGGCACATTTGTTTGTGTAATGTGGTAACAAAGCAGGCTTAATAGCACGTTTGTTTGGGTTTTTGTACATGTAACATAAATTTGTTTTCTGTAAAATGTATGCTATGAGAGAATCTTTTTGCAAGACAAGTGACTTTTTAATCATTTAACACAGAACAACTCTTACCTCTCGCACAAAGTTAACCGTTTGACTGCTACGTGGCGCAAAAGCGCTGTGTTCATTTGTCTCGAAAACCGTGATGCAGTTAGTTATTTTAGAATGCACTTGTGTTACAAAGTACGTGTGAGGTATGTACGTTCACACCCACGAAGCAACAAAGACACACTGAAAATCGCAGCGCAAGAGCTGTGCGTAACGGTTTTCGAGACAAATGACCGCAGAGCTTTTGTGCTGCATAGCAGTCAAACAGTTAATATTTAGGAGGGGGTAAAGGAGAAAAAGAAGAAATTTAAAATAGTTTATTGAAATTGTTGCAATTTAAAATTTTAATGAAATATGCTATATATTTTTTATTTATTTATTTATGTTAGAGTGATTGCCAAAAAAACACTTTTGAAAACTGCAATGAAAGCTGGTTTCAAGCCAAAGCCTTCATCACGAAAACAGAAATATGTAATCCAAGGTCCCCATGATTCAAGAACATTACCTAGTCCTGGAAGAACTCCATCTGTTGGATTTGATAATGAATCTGACCGACCATCATCACTTTACGAGGATGATTTATCCAGTAATTCAAATCTTGCTTTACGTATATTTATAACATGAAATATTTTTGATAATAAGTAGTATGTCTTCTTTTTGTAACTTAGCTAAAAATGAATTACTATATCATAAATTAAAATATGTAACATTTTTCTAGTTATTCAACAGTTTAAATTCTTACTTTTTAAAAAAAGGAAGAGTTAGGGCATACAGATTTGATATTGACATTTATTGTACATTATCATTAAAAATTAATCAATTACGTAGGCTGTCTGAAAAGTTTCCGACCTAACAAAGAAAAAATACTTTTTCTCCAAAAGTAGCTTTATTTTTCAACAAAATCTCCTTGTAAGTCCATACATATCTTCCAGCGATGCTCCCATTCTCTTTTAACCCACCCAAATAATATGTGGAATCTTTCTTTATGATTTCTCTTCATTTGATGGAAATCTTTGTTCCCCAAGTGCTTCTTTTAGCTTAGGGAACAAAACAAAAGTCACTTGGTGCCAGGTCTGGCAAATAGGGCAGGTCCTCAAGCAGTTCAAACCTTAAATCTTGGATTTTCTCCATTGCAACCACTGAGGTGTGAGATGGAGCCTTGTCTTGATGAAACAAAATTTTTTCCTTTGCAGATGTGGCCGTTTGTCCGCAATTTCTGCCTTCAGCCTGTCAAGTAACGTTGCGTAGTAATGCTGCAGTAATGGGTTTTTTTGTTTCAAGATAATCTATTAAGAAAATCTCATGGCTGTCCCAGAAAACTGTTGCTATCACTTTCTCAGAAGAAGGAACAGTTTATGCCTTTTTGGAACAGATTCTCGCTTTTGTTTTAATTGTGTTTTTATTCCTGGGCTGGATGATGAATCCATGTTTCATCTACAAAGACTAAGAGTCGAAGAAACTCTGATTTGTTGTGCCGACAGATCGGTGGAAACCGTTCATTCGGACATGTTTTTGTTCCAAATAGAACAAACGCAGCACCCAATGTGCAGCCATCTAATCTTGCGCATATCTAAATCTTGGTTCAGTATATAACAAAAGTTCTTTGGACATGCTCATAACCTCTGCTATCCTTCTAACCTTGATTTGGCAGTTGTCCACCACCATTCAGTGGGTTTTAGCTTTTTTTTTTTTTTTGTTTTTGTTTTTGTCAGTGGTTGCATTTTTGGCCGTCCTAAATGCTCATAGTCATTAAGCTGGTACAGTCATGTTTAAATTCAGCTGCCCAAAATTTCACAGTAGTAATTGATACACTGTATCCAACCCCTCTTTTATCTGAATAGGCATATTACATTTCAAAAACAAATATCTAATAACAGCACGATACTCGAATTTTTCCATTTTTGCAAAATCAGTCACATCAACTCAAAAACGTAATTTTAAACAAAACATTTGCTTCTAAAATAGATGAGATTTTTATCGGCAGTTATCAAGTGATACCCAAACAAGTTCCCTCCACTTCGGTTGATTTGAGTTGCCATCTGCATATTGAGGTTGGAAAATTTTCAGACAGCCCTCGTAAAAATGTCGTGGTGTCATAATCATTTTTAACATCAAATTAAAATTACTTTTAACATTAATTAAAACATTCATATTAAACATTTCTGGACAATTACTGGTGCTTTTTGTCAGTGATCTGTTTTATTTAAAACAATAAAACTGTAGTTTTTGATGTTTGTATTGATGTTTGATGAATGTTTCCTATTTTTATTTAATTTGAGTGTGTTTATTTCTCTCTTCCTTTAAACCTTTAACCATGAGGGTATACTTATTTTTAATAGATAATAAAAGGCACAGTTATCTTATGTTTGCTAGAAGTTTTGTTAATTTATTTTTAAAAATTAAAAATGTTCAACTATCTGTTTTAAAAATTGATTTAAATCTTAGAAGTAGTTAATAGACTATACCTCTAAAATTAATTCATTATTTTTGCATTTCTTATCAGTGGATTCACACTTTAGGAACACTCTATGATTGTCATTTTTTCTGATTATTCCTAATCTTATTTTAGTGTATGAAGTGAATTTTACTGTGACTTGTTGAAATTTGATTTTTAAGCGTGGAATGTTAACATTTAAAATAAATTTCCAAAATAATAATTTTGTATAAAACCATCTGTCTATCAAAATGCTTATCTGTTCATTTAAAATTGTTGGTTTGCTGCACTGTTATTGAAGTGATGTAGTATCCAAAATCAAATGGGCAGTGTTTATAAATGTTCCATAATTTAAATATTTAGTAAGTGTGGTGAAAGAATGTAAAACATGTGTTTAGTATTTCCTTCTTTATGTAAAAGTTATCAGTTTTTTTAAATTCTTTTAGTTTTGAAAATGCATCGGCTAGATTTTTTATGATAATATTTGCCATTTGACCCTCCAAGCAGCCAAGCTATGCCTATGCATTGGTAGATCCAGAAGTTTCTGTTATGATATTATTCTTCTAAAAGAAATAGCATTTTAAAAATTTATTTTTCAATATGATCACCTTGTACCTCAATACATTTGCACATCATTCAGTAAAGAACTCTATGATCTTTGTAAAACTAATCTGAAGATTTGTCCTGAAAATATTCCATAACTGCTGTTTTCATACTGCCAATATTAAGTTTCTTTCCACAAAGAGCCCACCAGCGACCGAGCGTTAAAGTTGCTGAGCACTGGTAGTTCAGTCCGAGGTTCGAATTCCGTGAACGGGCTGGCTGCGTGGGAGTTTTCGTGGTTTTCCCCATGTGTAACGTGTATACGAGCCAGTTTCTCTTAGAAAGTCCTCCACGAAGGCATCTTTTCCCGTAGGCAGATAGCCCTCGAGGCTTTGCCATAATCACACACACACTTTCCACAAAGATCAAATTTTAGTTTGGAGATTGGAAATAATAACTTAGAGCTAAATCTGTTTTGTAAAGGGGATGGTTAAGATCTAAACCGGCGCTGCTGAATTATTTTGAACTGCTGTAAGAAGCTCGTGTCCCCATTTGGCAGAGATTTTGCTTATATAGTATACACAAGACATTTGTTTTAGATGTATCCAATAGTGCTCTTATCTTCTTACCATTCCGCTTAATCATCTATCATTATAAATTGTTCGATAGCTGTGCTTCCTGTGATCAACATTTATGAGAAACACCCTCTATAAATCCTCAGTCCATGTGAAATTGTTTTACCCATTCTGTCACTACAGAATAGGAAGATGATAGAAAAATAAAATCCAATAGAAAAATGAATTACCATACCTATGATCCAAACATTGCTTTATTTCTTTGGGATCAAAATTTTCTTTAATCAAAAATTTAATAATAGAGTAATACTCAGTTTTAAGATACTTTAGAGCAACTAGCACATCATTCAGTAAATGGTCAAAAAGGAATGCATACAATTTCTGTAACCAAGTTTCAGATTTATTCATTTAGTATTACTACTATGTGTCTACAGGAGAATTTTTTTGCCAAAACATTTTTTATATGTGAAGCCAAAAATTTTTATACCTACCTACATATGCAGAAGTGCAGAAAAGAACTGGTACGCTTTCATGGAGGCATAGAACTGAAGAAATGCAGATTCCTTGATTATGTAGGAGTATTTTTTAAGCACTGAACTTCCTACATAGTCCTTAACTGTGTTATATTCAGAGCTCTAGCGTTTTTGTGTTTCTTAGTATTTCTGTGTATCCAATAATACTGAGATGTGTATTTGATAATGCTGAGATCTGGTAACTTAATGATATTGATTCTAAGCTCAAGTTGAGTGTTCCTTTAATCATAATTTAGTATTTCAAGACTTCTGTTGCCACATATTTTCCTGTTAGAAGTGGCTAAATCCAATAGAAAAATGTAAGGGATTAATGAATGTTATTCATTAAAAAGAATCTGAGCATAGCATTCCCTTGCCAGATATGTTTCTGGATATATTAAGATCTCACTTAACTAGAAAATCCTAAGCTATTACAGAGCCACAACTCCTGCCATCTGCTTAAAACAGTGGGAAATGTGACTAGACAAGTCAAGTTGCTGCATATTTTAAGAAATTTTGTTTGAAATTTATTGGTTGATTTTTTATGTTTTTCTAATTAAAAATCAATATGTAAGGGAATAAAACCTAGCTAGCTTTTCCCTGACATCTTGTATTTATAGCAAGATGTGGTATTTATAACATATTTCCCCAAATATTCTGCACTCTAACAAATTCCCATGTTGATAATTCGTATAGTGTCCAAAGGGCTAATCTCAGATGACCTGCATAGCTCTTTGTCAGTCTGGTTGTCAGCTTCTAAATAATAATGATATAATGAAGAAAGAATTCTACAATTCTCATGTGGATATTTGTTGACATTCTGGCATTGAATTTGAGTATTATTTAGAGCAGTGATGTATCCCTTTTGTGCAGTGATTCTTTTTCTTGGACTGAAACATGTTCATCCAGTCTTTTAAATGTGATACTATTTTAAGCTTGCAAAATTCTTGCAGTGATCATATTTGAAAATTTAAACTTCATCTGTATTTCCAAGCTGTAGCTGTAAGACTGTGTTAACTTACTTAATTGTAAAAATTCTACAGCTCTCGTACAGATATATGTCACTCTACATGTGTTCTGATATATGCGACTCGTGCCTTGCAAAGATGTCATTGCTATGTATTCTGCATAAAATGTTTTGTGCCAGTCTTTTTTTTTTTTTTTTTTTTCCTTTCCTTTCATTTTTTTAAAATATCTTTAAGTGAGTACTCATATGGATTTTTTTGAGATAAGTCGGAACCATTAAAACATTCTGCTGGAAATAAGTGCAAAGTGGGAAGAGCATAGAATCAAAGCTTGGGTTATTAGATTTTGGTATTATTTTGTCTACCTGAACTCAGTTCCAGTTTTAAACAAGTATCTCATACCTCTCTTCCACATTCAACAACCTTCCAAGGAAATTAAAATCATGAAAATACCTCTTTCCTATTATTTTATTTGACAAAATCTTTGGCTGCTTGAAGAGTTAACCTTTTAAAAGTATTTCATTGTGAGATAGACTTAGTTATTATGTTACTACAAA